TTATTTTCTATTATTTTTCTTTATTCTTTTGATTGCGGTAGTCGAATTTTTGACAACATCACCCATATATATTTTTTAGCCTTAATTAATGAAATCAAAAATTAAGTTTTTTCCAATTTTTATCAACTAATTCGTATAATTCTATAAATAACATATACCCATAAGGTTTTGTTAAAATCATCTAACCATATATTACCTAATCAAATATCATATTAATCAACACACCGCAACATTTTCATAATTTACACGACTTAATTAATTTAAAACTCTTATCGAACACGATTGCATAGTCATCCTTGTATTTGGCTTGAATTGTTTCTCTCGCGGGAACTGTTGATAAAAAAATGAATTTGGGTGATGACTTTAAAATGAAAACTTACCAACCTAACTAAATTTGGACGGTGGGAAATTGAAGAATAAACCACAGAAATGATATTAGAATGCCAATGAAAATGGACAAAATAACACTACGAAAGTAAAAACAAAGTCAAGGCAAGAATTCAACTATTTGTCCTTAAGTCAAATCTGTCCCGCAACGGTACATACGGATGATGATAATTAACTTCCAAGATACAACGACAATCTTNAAACAAAGTCAAGGCAAGAATTGAATTATTTGTCCTTAAGTCAAATCTGTCCCGCAACGGTACATATGGATGATGATAATTAACTTCCAAGATACAACAACTATCTTTTTATATTTGTAACATTCCAAAACAAAGGAACAATGAAGTAAAAGATAGGTTTATGTACTCATTTATAATTTATAATGAGATGGAAAAACAGTTTTTATGTAGAGTTTCAGCTAAGAAAAAATAAAATTTATGTTATAATATGATTGCATATCATTGGGATTAAGTAACGGATGTCACAATGGTCTTATTTACATAGGATGAGTGGTTGTGAGTAAAGATATACGCCTTAAAACTTAGCAACCTTTCCTAAGGATCACAACTTTTACTATAGCTCGTCCGTGCGTCGCTCAAGCATAAAAAATAGAGAGCCTGTCGCTCGAGCGACAATCTCACCGCTTGAGCGACATACAAATATCAAGTTTGCCGGCTAGTTTTTCCCTATTTTTTATTCAATTTGGACTACAATTTTTCATTCATCTGAAATTGATTTTGAGATTCCAAATATACCACAACGATTTACTCAACGAGTTAAATAAGTCAATCTATTTATTCATAATTTGACTATCGGATTAAGTCCGGATATTCGGCAGAAGTTGACGCAAGAGTCACATTTTCATGGTTTTAATACTTAAAACAATTCCATCAGGAACTAATTTATCAATAATGTCATCTTCTTCACCTGACTAGGGAGGGATCTTTTATAGCTTTCCAAGATGTTCAGGAAACAAACACAATAATGTTTGGTGTACAATCATTAGAAGATTGTAATTTTTACAATCTCTCACATTACGGTGGACCCGCCAAATAATTAATTAGTGGGCCCCACCCTAATGTGAGGGATTGTAATTTCTACAGTCTCCTAATGATTGTACAAATGGATTTTTCCAAACATTTTAGGCTGACGTTGTACTACCTTTTAACTCTCATATACTCTACATAATATCCAGTCGCCCTGTCAATCATGACAAATGAATATTAGAATGACAATATAAACATAAAAAGAATGGATAAACTGAATTGTTCTTATCATGCATTTGTACAAAATAAAAATCCATTAGAAATCATGTACTTTTAAAATTGGTACTCGGTATGAAGAAATGTTAGTATTGATTTAGCTCTTGTTTGACATCCATTCTCATTCTCATTTTTTTTCTCTTTCTTCATTTCAACCACACTTTATATAAAAAATAATAATATTACACATAAACTCAAAAATTATCCTTACTTTTTAACCACACATTCTTCCATCAATCACTATTCCAAATCAAATTTTTCTCCAAAATGGGTGCCAAGCAAACCCTTAAATTCATCCATGGTCCAATGTGTTTTGATATCAAGAGGATTATTTATACAGAAAAATGATGCCCTTTCTGACTATCACATGTAGTTTTCCATTAGTCAGAGCTCCTGGTCCTATTGCATCGAAAGTAGAAGAAATACCACTCTTTCGAATTCAACTTCGCCTCATCTAGGAAACCATGTATACAAGCATTAGGTTTCACAGAGCCCGTTTGATTCTCATTATTGTAGAAAAAGAATAAAAAAATATAGTCGTTATTGGACCCCATATAAAAGATAGAAATTCAAAATTGATNCTTATTATTGTAGAATGAGAATGAAAAATATAGCTATTATTAGGCCCCACACAAGAGATGAAAATTCAAAATTGATGGCTTGATGTGATGGATAACGGTCATATTTTTCAATTTTATGGATGAAAAATGAGAAACAAACGGGCTCTAAGAAGATATAAAATCTCATTGCATCTGTTACACAGTCAAAATTCCATAGTTAGTTGCAATTTTTTTGTCATCATCAAAGATTATTTCTGCAAACATCTTTCTAAATTGTACTCCCTATTTAATGGTCATTATTTTGAGGAAAAATGGAGTTTTGAATTGAATAGTAATTTTTTGAAGAATATGTGGTTAAAAAGTATGAGAAAATTTGGAGTTTACATAGAAAATATTTTTATTATAAATGTGTAGATGAAAATGAGTATGAAAATTAAAAACATTTGAAATAATAATTGTCGTATAGGGGCTTAATGACACAAACAATACCATGAGGTATGATAAGTGCATTTTATGCACTTATTCGGGGTCCTAAAATATCAATATTTGGTTGTTCTTTTGACAAAATATATCATAAATTGTTGTATTTTAAGTTATATA